ACAGAGGGAAGACAATATGAAGACACAGAAGAAGATGGCCATCTATAAGCCAAGGAGAGAGGCCCCAAAAAAGATCCTTCCCTCATAGCCCTCAGAAGGAACCAACCCTGCTGACACTTTGATCTTGGACTTCTGACTTCCAGAACTGTAAGAAAAAAATTCTGCTGATTAAGCCACCGAGTTTGAGGTACTTTTTGGGGCAACCCTAGAAGACAAATACACATTCTCAGATTGAAAGACAACTCTGTGTGACTATAAAATATATACTCTTTTTACTGAACCATGATGAAGGATAGGACCAAAAAAACCCAAAAACCCAAAAAACAAAACAAAACAAAAAGCCAGTTCCTTGTTGTTACGGAGAAGAAAAATGCAAAGGAAAGAGAAGGTTTAAGAAAATGCAGTAATTATACATTTATGATTGACCTAAAGAAGGGAGAGAGTTCCTTCCTTTCTTTTTTTAATTAAAAAAATTTTTTTTAAACATTTTTATTTATTTTTGAGCGACAGAGTGTGAGCAGGGGAGGGGCAGAGAGAGAAACACACAGAATCAGAAGCAGGCTCCAGGCTCCAAGATGCCAGCACAGAGCCCAACGTGGGGCTTGAACCCACCAACTGTGAGGTCATGACCTAAGCTGAAGTCGGATACCCAACCAACTGAGCCACCCAGGCACCCCAAGAGTTCCTTCCTTTCTACTAGTAGTACTGCTACTTCTGCTTGACTTCAGCTTCTACTTCCAGTGGGACTACTACTAATTAACATTCATTGAGTACTGACTACAGACCATACATTGTGTGAAGTAACTAATTACTTGCATCAGCCCTGTGAATAATATTACTTGCAATAACTCTGTGGGGTTTTCTCTTCATTTTACTGGTGAGGAAATTGAAGCTCAGAAGTAATCTGCCCAAATTAATGGTGGGATTTAATTTCTGGGTTAGTGTCTGTCAGTCTCTGACTTAAGAATCTGTGTTCTTAGCTATTACCATACTAGGGCTTTGTTTCAACATAATGCATGCTGCTCACAGTTGCATAGTTTCCAGTCCAACTATCAGCTTTAAGAGTGGTGAATGGTTTTGATGGTATTTGATGACAGGTACCGTAACATCCCTCCTTTGTGGTAAATTCTATCTTGAAACAAAATGGCAGCTAATACAGGTTTTCCAGTGATCATTGTTCTTACAACTTTTATACGAATTTAAGCTTTGAGTGAGGACTTGGTCATATGATTTTATTGACTGAAATCTTCAATTCACAGAGCCAATAATAATTAGAAAGGAGTAAGGGCAAAAGAAAAAGGAAATTTGTCTAGATAACAAAGCCAGTTGATTCAAGTGCAGAATTTAAATTCGTAGCCCCTGCTTAGACTATCCAGTATTCACATTTTAAAGAATTTGTTTTTGGAAACCTTTATAAAACTCTCCACTGTTACAATGTAATGCCATCTGGGATTTAGCATTTATAAAATATGCAGTTAAGAGATGCCAAGAGATTCTTCATGCAAACCAGATGGTACAATAACAGCTCTGTCTGTGTTTTTGGCAGAAAAATAGGACTTTGAATGGCTTGAAACTTATGTGAATAAATTAAGCCCAATCAATACTTCAGGGACATTATAATTTCAATAGTCAACTTACCCACCTAAATATTTTCATAAATGTTTTCATTTAGAGAAGAAAAAAACAAAAGGGCAGACAGTGGTTCCTTTCATTGCCTCATGTTTGTATTTAACAATGTTTCTAAGAAAAACAACACCAGTGACCTTCAATGTGGGAAAGAAAGTTTCTCTGTATTTTGAGTGATATATGTGTTTAAATGAGAAGCAGGGTTGTTGAATCTCTTTTGAAGAGGAAAAATCCACATCAAATAGGTTGAAGAGTTTTGTTGCTGTGCTCAAGAGGAAAACGTACATAAATAACTAAGTGACATTTTCTGAGTAATGGACTTAAAAATGTCTTTACCTCAAATGGTTTGTTTCTCACAAACCTAAGTCCAGCACATACAGTAATGTGTTAATGACGCCTATTCTGTCCTTGCTTACTTCCTATAAGTTCCATGCAACAATAGGACTTCTGTAATCCTTTATAATTTTTTTTACTTTCTGTTAATCCTTTTATTTTCATTAAAATTCATAATAAGATGCTCATTAGATGAAACAATCTTGTTAAAAGCAACGTTCTGCTTGGATCTTTTCTTTTTCCTTATTAGGTAAAAATGTGCTTCCCTACCATACAAGTGAATTTCCTCTATAATTAGGCGTAAATAGCTTTGGAGAACAAATACAGGCTGCTTTTGAAAACCAGGTCTCTTGGGTTTAGGGGGCAATCTCGTTAATAAAAATAAGTGTTTCTGGGCTTCACATTGAATTTCTTTCCCAATTAGCAGTGAATGGTTTTTCAGAACAAGGAAGAAGTTGGGTTTCCACTTTGTTGGCATTGGTTTTTCTTGGGGGTAGACTGGAGGTATCAACTACCACTAATCTTTGTTCCTTCCATCTCTCTCTCTGGGCAAAGGAACACACAAGACTCTGTTTTATAGATAGATCAGAGTCCTATGTAAATTCTCCATCCAAGGGCTACTACTTCCTTTCATCCAGGATTAGACTCCATGGTAGATGGGACAGTTGTTTACAACATCAAGCTGTCAGGTGGCAGGAGAGACTGCAAAATTATAAACACAACAATGAAGAATGGACAATGCCATTGCTTTGTGGGGAGGAGGAGACCCTTTAGGGGGAGAATCTTTCTAAGTGTTGCCCCTGGGGGTGCCAATTAACCCTGTTTTCTCTGGGTCATTGGCAGAAAGAAGTGGTGTTTGGGTCTAAGGGACTCTCAAAGTGAAATGGTTAAATGCATGGGGTGTCAGGTAATAAATGAGTTTTTAAGAAAACAAAGGAGGAAATAAAGCCTACCCCCTCTGAACCTAAGTGGCAGCAGAGGGACATAGAAGTCACTAGCAAGAGTTTCTAAAGTTATTCTAATATTGCAGGTGTATAGGGAGGTGGGAGCAGGACAGGGTTGGTTACAACAGGAAGGTGATGAGCACCTGACTTACTCTGGATATTTAAATGGACATTTAAATCTGACCCTTAAAGTCTATCAACCAGTGTGTAGGGAAGATATTCTTTTCTGACCTTCAAAGAGTCCAATAGCATACTATTGGGACAGATTCAAATACTTATTTCCACAAGGCCAATACTGTCAAAACATACAGTCAAAAGCCACAATTGCCCCATAATTATCTAGACTCCTGATGAGCAGTTAGTGCCTAAATTATATGCAGATCTGTCTTAGGTATTTTCATTAATCTCTGCCCTTACCATCTCCTACCAGTTGTGTCTCTCCTTTGTACTTTGAGAAGTACAGTAGAAAATAAGAAAAGAGACCAATTACTAAGTTTTAGAGCTCTCTCTCTCTAACTGCACTCTTAGCCACAATCACATGGTTTCTTGGCTCTTCCAGTTTGTAAAACCATACTTCACAGTTTGCAAGGAATTCTATATCATTTCACCTTTACTACTATAAGTTTAGATGATAATATGGTCATGAGCAATATCCTCCAATTTTATTCACAAAGAAATGGAAACTCAAATAGATGCAGCAAGTTCTTCCAGAATATATGGACTTCAGGTCTTCTAGGTCTAATTTCAACCCTCTCTGTCAATCTCCTCTTGAGGGAATGGTGTAAGGAGGATCTTCAAGTTCAGGATCTGTTTCTGCTTCACCTCACCTTCCCAACACACTCTTCCTTTTTTTTTTTTTTTTAACGTTTATTTATTTTTGAGACAGGGAGAGACAGAGCATGAACAGGGGAGGGTCAGAGAGAGGGAGACACAGAATCTGAAGCAGGCTCCAGGCTCGGAGCTGTCAGCACAGAGCCCGACGCGGGGCTCGAACTCACGGACCGCGAGATCGTGACCTGGCTGAAGTCGGCCGCTTAACCGACGGAGCCACCCAGGCGCCCCCCCCAACACACTCTTCTTTTAAGGAAGGGGTTTTCCCAAGGAAATGCCAAAGGGTGCCAGGATATTTAAATACCATTTAAAAATATTAAAACAAACAGCTCAGGTGTCTTACCATTTCGCAGGAGAGTTTGAGTCCAAGTCATGAGTGCTCCTGGAGTTGAGAAACTCTTCCTTCTCCTCCATTTCTAACCCTTTTTCCTATATGAATGATTGCTCTGTCCTCCTTTATCTTTGCTTCCATCCTTATCTTTACCATTCTCCTTCTCCCCATCATTATCACATTATCTTTATCATCATCTTCATCTTGTAACAGACTCCTCGTTTGATTGGCACTTAGCTTTCTATAAGCTAATAATATAGTTTATAATTATATACACGATAATTAATCGATCTTTGAGAAGCCCTCTGTCAGATTATATATGATTTTCTATTTTAGAATATATTCATGAATGTAATTGTGTCTAAATTAAAGTAGCTCATGAAAAAATTAGTTGTTCTCACAGTATCCATAATATTTCCAAAAATATTCCAAAAATATCCAAAATATTTCACTCTCTGCAGTCTTAAAAAAATTCTTTTTCCCTCCTTACAAATAAATAATAGTGTCCTCCAGGTTGCTTCTACAGCTTCAACTGGTTCTCATAGAAACCAGAAAAAGGAACAAACATTGACTCTTGGAGCTAATTATCGTGAGAAACTTGCAGATGAAAGCTTTGTACTTTCTCAAAGTTGACAGATAATTTATCTTGGAATAAAGGCTTAGAGAAAAAGAGATAAGAAGAATAAAGAGTTATAGACTTTGAAAATAGATCTTCCTCACCTCAATTCCATGGACTATTATCCAAACATATTAAAGGTTTTGTAACAATATGGGAAATACTTATGGTGGATTAAAGAGAGGAAAAGACAATGCAAAAATGTATGTATTTGATGATAAAAACTATGTAAAATATATACTTCAAGAGAATATCTATACAGTTTATCAGTTGTATCGGATGAGGGGTTCTAATTTTATTGCTGTGTCTTCACAGGACATGGTCTGCATGAAATCTATCATTTGATACTTATTGAGGCCTGCACTGGTTTTATTAGGTGGGCAATTTTTTTTCCATATATGAAGTTTATTGTCAAATTGGTTTCCATACAACACCCAGTGCTCATCCCAAAAGGTGCCCTCCTCAATACCCATCACCCACCCTCCCCTCCCTCCCACCCCCCATCAACCCTCAGTTCTCAGTTTTTAAGAGTCTCTTATGCTTTGGCTCAAAGAGAGCTTTGGCTCTCTTCCACTCTAATCTCTTTTTTTTTCCCTTCCCCTCCCCCATGGGTTTCTGTTAAGTTTCCCAGGATCCACATAAGAGTGAAACCATATGGTATCTGTCTTTCTCTGTATGGCTTATTTCACTTGTCATCACACTCTCCAGTTCCATCCATGTTGCTGCAAAGGGCCATATTTCATTCTTTCTCATTGCCACGTAGTACTCCATTGTGTATATAAACCACAATTTCTTTATCCATTCATCAGTTGATGGACATTTAGGCTCTTTCCACAATTTGGCTATTGTTGAGAGTGCTGCTATAAACATGGGGTACAAGTGCCCCTATGCATCAGTACTCCTGTGTCCCTTGGATCAATTCCTAGCAGTGCTATTGCTGGGTCATAGGGTAGGTCTATTTTTAATTTTTTGAGGAACCTCCACACTGTTTTCCAGAGTGGCTGCACCAATTTGCATTCTAGGTGGGCAATTTTTATAAATATTTCTGTGTACTTGAAAAGAACACGCTTTTTCTATTGAGTATAGAGTTATATATACGATTGTTAAGTCAAGCTTTTAATTGTGTTCAAAAATTTTATATTTTTACTAATCTTTAACCTAATATGTGTGTGTGTGTGTGTGTGTGTGTGTGTGTGTGTGTGTGATATACAGAGGGTGAATTAACATTATCATTATATATATAATATTAAGAGTTAATTAAAATCTCCTACTGTGATTGTGGATTTGCTCTTTCTGTTCCAGTTCTATTATTTTTTGTTTTATCTATTTGGGGGCTATGTTATTAGGTACACACAAGCTTAGGACCACTATATTTTGTTGATGAATTGTTCCTTTCATCATCTCTCTTTATCCCTAGTAATTTTTTGGCTTAAACTATATTTTGTCTGATATAAATATAGATATACCATTTTTTGTCAGTATTTTCTTGATAAAACTTTTCCATTTTTTGCTTTCAATCTTTCTGCAATTTTATATTTTAGCTGTGTCTGTTGTGAATAAGATATAGCTGGGTCTTCCAACTGGTGAATTTTGTCCATTTACACTTATTTGTTTTACACAGATATTTGGACCATGTTTTTGGTCTTACATTGTGTTCTTTATTTGCACGAATTTTTCCATGTTTTCCTCCTTTCCTTAAGGTGGGAGTTTAAGTTATTGATTTGAGATATTTCTCTTTTTTTAATACAGGCATTAAAAACTGTTAATTTCTCCCCCAAGCTCTGTTTTATTTATTTTTACATTTTTTATTTTTATTTTACTTATTATCAAGTTAACATACAGTGTAGTCTTGGAGTAAAATCCAGTGATTCATCACTTACATATAACACCCAGGGCTCATCCCAACCAGTCCTATCCTTAATGCCCATCACCCATTTTCCCCACCCCTGACCCCCATCAACCCTCAGTTTATTCTCTTTATTTAAGAGTCTCTTATGGTTTGCCTTACTCTCTGTTTTTATCTTATTTTTCCTTCCTTTTCCCTATGATCATCTGTTAGGTTTCTCAAATTCCACATATGAGTGAAATCGTGTGATATCTGTTTTTCTTTGACTGACTTATTTCACTTAGCATAATACCCTCCAGTTCCATCCACACTGTTGCAAATGGCAAGATATCATTCTTTTTCATTGCTGAGTAGTATTCCACTGTGTGTGTGTGTGTGTGTGTGTGTGTGTGTGTGTGTGTATAACATCTTTTTTTTAATGTTTATTTATTATTTTTGAGAGAGAGAGAGACAGAGTATGAGTAGGTGAGGAGCAGAGAGAGAGGGAGGGGACACAAAATCCAAAGCAGGCTCCAGGCTCTAAGCTGTCAGCACAGAGCCTGACATGGGGCTCAAACTCATGGGCGGTGAGATCATGACCTGAGCCGAAGTCAGACACTTAACCAACTGAGCCACCCAGGCACCTCATATATACCACATCTTCTTAATCCATTCATCAGTTGATGGACATTTGGGCCAAGCTCTGTTTTAAAATTCTGAGATGTTGTGTCTTCATTTTCATTCAGTTCAAAATAGATCTGATAAAGGATTTTTGTTCAATATATATAAAGAACTTTTGTAACTCAATAATAAGATAATAACCCAGTGAGAAAAATGGGCAAACAATTTAATAAAGATAAGATGTAAGAATGGCTAATAAGCACATGAAAACGTGCTCAACATCATTAATCATTAGGAAATGCAAATTAGAACCATAATGATACCACTTCACATCCGCTAAGGATGGCTATAAGCAAAAAGGCAACAAAGGCTGCAAAGATATGGAGAAATTATCACCAATCATTGCTGGTAGAAATGTATAACAGTACAGTGACTTTGGAAAAACACTGGCAATTTCTGAAAAAGTTAAATATAAATCATCATGTAACCCAGCCATTCCGCTCTTTGCTATAAACCCAGGAGACATAAAGATATATGTCCACACAGACTTGCGTGTGAATGTTCTTAGAAGCATTATTCATAAAAACAAAAAGGGGAAACAATCTAAATGTCCATCAGCTATTGGATGAATCATGAACATTTGGTATATTTCTATAGTAGAATATTATTCAGCAATAAAAAGGAAGTACTGTTATATACTGAAAAATGAATGTACCTCAGAAAATTATGTGAAGCTAAAAAAAAACCCTAAACACAAAGACTATATATTTTATGATTCCATTTATATTAAATGCCCTTAAAAAGCAAATCTATAGAGACAGAAAGCAGATTAGTAGTTTCCTGGGGTTGGGAGAGGAAATGGGGATTAACTACAAATGAGTATGAGGGATATTTTGAGGGTGATAGATATGTTCTAAAATTGGATTGTGGTGATGCTTGAACCACTGTGTAAATTTACTATCATTGAATTACACACTTAAAAGGGGTGAATTTCATAGTGTGTAAATTATACCTCAATAAAATAGTTTCTAAAGTAGACCTCCCCAGTGAACTAGACTAGTTCTGAATTGTTTGGAAATTATTTTGTACATTCTGTGCCTAGATGACCAATACTACATTCAAGACATGCTAATGGACAGGAAAAATTAAATGTGGCTTAAAACACTCAAGAGGAGCCCCGCATTCCTTACTCTTCCAGGTCATGGCCATGCCAGAAAGGAAAGGTCCAAGTTCAGTGCTGTGAACCTTTCTGGCTGCCTTCCATGGAGGAGGCTGGAATGACCTTTGTCCTGAGGTGACACTCTTCCTTGTTACTGATTAACCAGCTTTGCAGGAAGGCTACTTCACCAACAACCTGATCTGCCTGGAGAGCAATATCTGGCTGGGCTTAGGTGGGCTGTAAAAATGTCCACTCGCTACCACCAAGCTGCTAGTGATAGCTACTTAGAACTTTTGAAAGAGGCTACCAAGAGAGATCTGAATCTTTCTGATGAAGATGGCATGACTCCCACACTCCTGGCAGCTTACCATGGGAATTTGGAAGCCCTAGAAATAATCTGCAGCAGAGGGTAAGTTCAACCTGATGGTTTCTACTGTAAACAGTGTTTATGGTAGGAGTTTACAGACAGCAGCAAGAGACAGGGAAGTCAGTGAAAATACTTTGTTCTTTATGGATTGTCTAAATAATTGTCTTTTTAGAGAAAAAGAGAAAACTGCCTAGAGATGCTCTTTTCACATTAAGAACTGGTACCATGGGGATGGCTCATCCCTTATGAGCCACACATAGAAAGATCCTGAACTCTAAGGCTTTGTTATCTGCTCAGGGCAGGGGGATGGGGGGGAGGATATTTTAATTTTGTGTCTTTAAAAATCTTTTACATAAGGGCATCTAAGTGGCTCATTCAGTTAAGCATCTGACTCTTGATGTCAGGTCAGGTCTTGATCTCAGGGTCATGAATTCAAGCCCCATATTGGGCTCCATGCTAGGTCTGAAGCCTACTTTAAAACAAACAAACAAACAAACAAACAAACAAACAAACAAACTTTTCCATGAAATTTAAATGGTTGGCTCTTAAAAAGAAATCACTGTTTTACTTGACTTTAAGATGTTAACTTTGATTGGAACAAATGATGCGTTGTTTTTTTTATCTATTCCATTAAAATCCACAGCCTTTTATTAATACACAACCCTAATGCAAGGCATGATTCTTAGATGAAATAGTTGGCTTTATAAGGGACCTTCAGCCTGTCTTATCTCTCTAGCTGTCAGATATATACACATGCATACACACTTCCCCCAAATTCTAATGCAGGAATTACCTATCTCTTCTTCTGCATGTTACCAGAAGGGCTAGGCAGTGTTGGCAACTATAACCCGATGGCAGTAAAGAAAGGAAAAAAGAACACATTAATAAAGGAGCTAAGTGAATCAATTTCAATTCAGTAAATATTTACTTTTACATATTTGCAATGTACCAGCAATTTTATTGGCCACTGGGGATGCTCTGATCAACAAGAGAGACCCAATTCCTCTCCTCATGGTGATCAGATTTGAGAGAGGAAGACAGAAATTAAATAAGTTAAGTCATAGATGATATTGGTTATAAAGGGGGGAAAGAAAGGGCACTACATAAATAACACAGGCATCTATCCCAAACCATAGAGTGAGGATAGGCTTTCTGGATCATTGAAGCTGTAACTTGAAAGGTGAGAAGAAGCTGGCCAGAAGATGGAAGGAAGAATGTTTCCCAAGTGAGAGCACTTTGCATTCTAGGCACTGAAGTTGAGTATGGCTGGATGCAGCTTTAATGGGGAGAGGCCAAGTTATAAGAAACGACCAGATCACAAGAGCCTTGTAAACTCTGTTTGGGAGTTGAACTTTATCCTAACGGCATGGGAAGTCATTGTCAGGTTTAAGCAGGGTAGCCACCTGGTAGATTTGTGTTTACAAAACTTGTTCAGGCAGCTGTGTAGCAGTCACAGAAAATGTTCAAGGGCTATTTTAATGGTTGAGATGAGAGATGAACTGGACTAGGGCAGTGGCAATGGCAATGGGGAGACAGGGATGGTTTGGAGTGGCAGTTTGGGTGTAGGATCAATTACAGTTGACTGGATGTTTTGGTGAGTAGAGGAAGAGGAAGGTAAGACCCCATGTTCCACCGTTGTGTTAAGTTGCCATGGAGTATATAGGCTGAAAAAAATATCTTGTACAGGTTTTCTTAGGCTCCCATATTGACCACAGCCAATTTTCAGGAACTGTGAGAGATCAATTGCCAGTTATACTTAAGGGAGTTAAAAAGGGAAATAAATTAAAAATTGAATTTAGAAGTTAATCAGTCATTGATCACTGACAGTGGATCATGTGGTAATTATTAATACCCAAACTCTGGCTTTGTTAAAAATTGTGTTCCTTTCTTTTCAAAATTTAAAGATGAAAAGCAATAATTACATGTGTTCTCCTACACTTGGAAGATGGCGCCAATTATACAAAATTTCATTTTGCCTTCATTGTGTATGTGAATTTTTTTTGTTTTAACCTAAGTTATCTTCCTCCCTGATTCTTCGAGGATACTTATTGCAAAATTTTACATCATATTACAAAGATAGATTTAATAAAGTAAAAATCAAACCAATTTTCACAGTCATTAACATTTGGGCTTATATCCTTCCAGACTTTTTCCTTTGAGAACATGTACATACACATACATTTTTCCCCCTGAAAAAAGGCAGTCATATTATACAAACTGTTCTGACACCTGCTTCTAATTATTTAACAATAGATTATGGATCATTTTCACTTTCAGTTTTTTATTTGCTCTTTGAAGTAGAAATCTATACCACTGGTGTTTTGTTTTGTTTTGTTTTGTTTTGTTTTGTTTTGTTTTGTTAATTAGAGAGAGAGAGAATTTGCCTGAATTTAGCCCAGGCAAACACTATAGCATCAATATTGGATTCAGCTAATCAAATGAGGGGAACCAGTTTGTGAACACCTGGGCAGATATGTGTAATGGTTCTATCAAGAATTATGAAAGACACCAAGGACTAAAAGACAGAGATTGGATTTAGAAGAGTGGGGAGAGGGGCAGATGGAGAGGGAGAGAAAGAGACAGAGAGAGAGAGAGAGAGGGAGAGAATCTTAAGCAGGCTCAGCGCAGAGCCTGATGTGGGGCTTGATCCCATGATCCTGGGATCATGAACTGAGCTGAAATCAAGAGTTGGACAGTCAGCTAACTGTGCCACCCAGGCATCCCATGCCACTGTTTTTTTAAAAATTTTTTACTGTTTTTATTTATTTTTGAGACAGAGACAGAGCATGAGCAGGGGAGGGGTAGAGAGGGCGGGAGACACAGAATCTGAAGCAGAGTCCAGGCTCTGAGCCATCAGCACAGAGCCCGACATGCAGCTCGAACCCACGGAGTGTGAGATCATGACCTGAACCGAAGTCGGACCCTCAAACGACTGAGCCACCCAGGCGCCCCATCATGTCACTGGTTTTTAATGACTATATGGTATTCTGTTTTTACGGTTTCATCATAATTTATTTAATCAGTTGCTTGTTCATAACACTTAAATTTGAATCCAGTCTTTCAACTGTTATTAACAAGTTGGGATGAACACCCTTGCTTACTCATCTTTACACAAGGGTCTAATATTTCCTTAGGATAAATTCTTAAAGGCAGAGTTATTGATTCAAGAGGGTGCTATGTTTTAAAAGCTTTTGGCACATAATGTGCCAGGAAATTTGAACTACTTTATGATTCCTCCAGCATTGTTCATTTTCCCATACTCCTGCCAAAACTGAGTATTACTGTTCTTTTTAATCCTTGCCTATCTGATGGGCAAGAAAATGGTAGTACATTGTTTTCATTTATATTTCTTTGATTATTAATAAGTCCAAATATTCCTTCTTATGTAGAAAAACATTTTTGAAAGACTGATTTTTTTTTTCTGAGAACAGCTTCACAAAAAACAAATTAACTTCAAAAGAGAAAAAATGATGTGGACCAGATGCTCAGAGTAAGTTCATATAAGCAAGTTGCCCATTTAGTGACTATAATACCAATCCGGTTTTAAAAATTACTGCCCAAATGCACTGACCTACAAAAAGGCAAGAGCAAAATGGGGATTATTTTAAAATCTCTTCTGTGAGTTTCTCTTTTGGAAAAAAGAAATAGGAAAAGAAACCAACCCAAGACTGAATTTAGCCTAGGCAAACACTATAGCGTCAATATTAGATTCAGATAATCAAACGACGGGGACCAGTTTGTGAATATCTGGGCAGGTATGTGTAATGATTCTATCAAGAAGTATGAAAGACACCAAAGACTGAAAGACAAAGATTGAATTTAGAAGTACTCCATGAGGGTCGCCTGGGTGGCTCAGTCAGTTGGGCATCCGGCGTCAGCTCAGGTCATGATCTCACAGTTCACAAGTTCGAGCCCTGTGTCAGGCTCTGTGCTGATGGCACAGAGCCTGGAGCCTGCTTTGGATTCTGTGTCTCCCTCTCTCTCTGCCCCTGTCCTGCTCATGCTCTGTCTCTCTCTCTAAGAAATAAATAAACATTAAAAAAAATATAAGGTCTCCATGAAATTTGTCATTAGAAAATATTTTAAGTTATACACAAATTTAGAAAGTTGCTTTATTTAAAAAAATTTTTTTAAAGTTTTTATTTATTTTTGAGAGACAGAGCACGAAGAGGAGAGGGAGACACAGAATCTGAAGCAGGCTCCAGCTCCAAGCTGTCAGCACAGAGCTTGTCGCGAGTCTTCAACTCACAAATTGCGAGATCATGACCTGAGCTGAAGTTGGTTGCTTAACCAACTGAGCCACCTTGGTGCCCCAGAAAGTTGCCTTAAAATAAAATAAACATTAAAAAAAATTAATTTTTGAGAGAGAGACAGAGACAGAGAGGGACCTGGGGGAAGGGTAGAGAAAGAGGGAGACACAGAATTTGAAGCAGACTCCAGGCTCCGAGCTATAGCACAGAACCTGATGCAGGTCTCGAACTCAAGAACTGTGGGTTCATGGCCTGAGCCGAAATTAAGAGTCAGATGCTTTGAAAAAAAATTTTTTAAATATTTATTTATTTGAGAGAGACAGTGTGAACAGGTGAGGGGCAGAGAGAGGGAGACACAGAATCTGAAGCAGGTTCCAGGCTCCAAGCTGTCAGCACAGAGCCCGACTTGGGGCTCGAACTCACAAACTGTGAGATCATGAAGAGTCAGATGCTTAACCAACTCAGCCATCCAGGCACCCAAGAAAGTTGCTTTTAAATAGAATTTTTATAAGTGGAAATAACTTAAATACGCTAGGGAAACTTTTAAATCATCTTACTGACAGTTTCATCTATAAATTTGGAATTTTGCATTTGAAATTTTCTTAGAACAAGACACATATTTGGGGTCATCTCAAGGTTTTCTTGATGTTCTTCCTTCCATCTTGAAAGGATCATAAGTTCCAAAGCATGTAGATTTAACCTAAACTCCTTAAGACCCTGAACATCCCCACCATAGCTCACTCCTCTCAGTAATTTCTTTTTTAACTTATACAACCCAATAGTTTCAAGCAAATTTAACCAGTATGTTTTTATTTATGTTTATAGTACCATCTTGGATGTTTTTACAATCCCTCTTTGATGTCTAGACTACTTAAGGAGTCTTTTGAATATGGTGCTTGGTTAAAATAAATAAAATGTAAAACGACATCTTTGGGGGTGAGGCACTGTGCCCCCCTAAGATACACAACTGCACTAAGACTGAAAGAGGTTTTCTTTGATCCAAAACAATTAAATCAGGCATACTGAGCAGACCTCTTGGAAGTAGCAGCCCGACAGAATGGTCTTATTTAATATTTGCTTTCCTTAGATTAAATTTCACTTTCTTTCCTCTTTGCACTGATTTCCCTTGCCCCATCTCCATGCACTCTGGTCAACCGAAATATACTCCTGGTTCCTCAGATATGCCATGTTTAACATCACCCATATGTGCATCTGTTCATGCTGTTCTCTGCTCAGAAGGAGGTTACCAACTGCCAGAGTATGGGCTGGATCCAGTCCAAAACTGTGTTTTATTTGGATTTCACTGTATTTTTCTTTTAAATTGGAGCCAACGTTTGAAATTCAAAAAATTCCACATGAAATCCTGGATGTCTGGCTTTATGTGGAAAATGGAAGCCCTGGCCAAATTGTGCCTGCTTTTATTCAAGGTAGCAGTCAGCTGCTGCTGAGCGACAGCTATCCTTTCTCATTGAAGTTCACACTCAACTATGACTTTGTTGAAAGAACAAGCTTGGCTCCATTCAGCTGCTTAAATGACCTGCTTGGTTTCTTTAAGTTGAGTCTGAGACTTCTCTAGGAGATGTGATACAAAGGACAAAAAGACACAGGCTTGGCCCTCTGAGGCATATTATCTCATTAGGGAGTTGGGACATAAATATTGGGCAAATTAAGTACGACTATAAGTGTTAAAAAGTAGCAAGAGCTAGGGTGCCTGGGTGGCTCAGTCAGTTAAGCGTCCGACTCGATTTTGGCTCAGGTCATGAGCTCATGGTCACGAGATGGAGCCTCATGTCGGGCTCCACTCTGAATGCAAAGCCTGTTTAGGATTCCCTCTGTCCCTCCCCTGTGCTCTCTCTCTCAAAATAAATAAATATTTAACAAAAGTCACAAGAGCTATTATAATGCTGTGGGGAAAAATAAATATATGAAATTTGGGATTATGAGTTTAGGGAAAAGGGAAATGATAATAGGTAATATTTGTTTATTGAGTATTCACTATGGACCAAGCACTTTTCTAAGGCTTTCTGTTAACTTATTCACATAGCAACTCCATGAAAATTATTCTCACACTCATTCAGATGAGGACACTGAGTCCTCAGTGAGTTAAGCTTGAGGCCTCATAGCTGGTAAAGTAGAAAAACTTGAGGTCTGTTAACATAAGACTATATTGTGCTGGAGACCGTTAGGCCTGGAGGCAAGCCTGATCCAAAGTATGCTGCCTGTGTAACAGGCTTAAATCAGTTAACCATTCTGAGCCTCATTTTACCCCTCTGATAATTATCCTGGTCTTTCTTTAAGAAGGAGATGGTGATGGTGGGTGGTGGTGATGGTGTTGAAAGTATAAACCTTCACAACTGAAAAGCCTGAGGAGACCAAGGCTTTCCATGGAGGAGTTACAAATCCGATTCATCAAATTACTGGACATTGGTTAGGCTCTGTTAACTAGCACAGCTCTTCTCAATCTGCAGGGAACTTACATATCACCTTGGGATCTTGTTAAACTTCGGATTCTGATTCAGGAATTCTGGGCTGGAGTCCAAGATTCCGCATTTCTAGCAAACTAGCAGCTGCAGCTGCTACTACTGATCCAGGGACCAAACTTTGAGTAGCAAGCAACAGAGGAAGGGTCACAGGGCATTGATGTGGCTGTTGCAAGTGCACGGATTGTCTCTCCTGTTTCCACATCCTACTCACCAAGAATGTCAAGAGGCCTTCTCAGAACCTGTCTCCTATCCTTCCATGGGTCCAGACTGGGGAAAGTTTAGAGGGATCCTGGTTTGGGGGTGTAGTCTAGGGTGAGGGAAGAATCCCTCTTAGTACCTGTATTATCAGAGTCCTCATCAATGGCTTGGGCTTGGGGCCAGAGCCATATTAAACAACATGACTGCCAGTAACTCACAATCTCATAGGGGGAGTGGGGTTGTGGCCTGGGGCAAGATTCCAGTAGGCATTAATTCATCCCACAAATCTTTACTGAGCACCTACCGCATGACTGTTTCTATGCTGGCATGGGGTCTCTGGCCTTAATCCCATCTGATAGTACCCTCAATTACACCACAAGCCGTTGCAGAACTGATCGCATATATGACACTGTAATTACATGGAAGTAAGTTGGGGAATCAATGGATATGTTCTACCCTTTGTATGAATAATGGTTGTAGTAGATACTGTTTGGTACCTACACAATATCCATTCTCCTCTTCTTTCTTGCTGGTGGGAACCCAGTTCTGTTCAGTTCTTTATTTTCCTACATGTGACTCCAGTGTGGTAACACTGTTAGAGTGGGAATGAGCTCTTACCAGCTCATGAGAGATGATTGCTAAATTTTCAGGAAGTTTCAGTCTGTTAAACAGTCATTATTAAAAATAAGGTTATTTAACCTATCAGTTAATAAATTATATTTTTAAATACTCAAAACTTCTCACTTCCTAATTATTTAGTGCATTTTACTGTTAACTATGTTCTTAAGATTTTGCACATCTGCAGTATCTACATATATGGTGGGAATAATTTATAACAGTGTGTTACTGTACATCTCTTCCAAACTGTGTCCAGTAATATCACATTAGTAGCTTGAATTTTGCCATGATGGGTGTATGTACAACACAAAAATTGGCACATGCCATAAATCAGAGCTTTGATCTTTTTCTTGGGTAAGCCAGTTGTTAAACATTTACAAGTATGCCACTGGGTAATCTTATCCCTAGCTTCAGGGAAAATTTTTAATTGGCCTAAGTTATAGTAGTTCTATTTCTCTTCCTATAGACATGTGATCCAATTGGGAACAATGAGACATGAAAGTGGCTTTTTTGGGGGGAGGGGGATGTTTCTTGGAAAGCTTTTCTTCTAAAAAGGAAGCAAATGGTAGAGATGGGCTCTTTCTGTTTCTGGCCATGTTGATTTCTCTATGTGTTTAGACTTTCACAAGTTATAACCAATGCCAAGGCAGGATTAACATGTATTTTGTTCATCTTGGTTTTATTTATTTATTTATTTATTTATTATTTATTTATTTATTTATTTATTTATTTATTTTGGACCTCATGTTCTAAGAAACAAAACTTATGTGTATTTTTGATATTTTTTCTAGAGGGGACCCTAATAGATGTGACATCTGGGGAAATACTCCCTTGCATTATGCAGCCTCCAATGGTCATACCCACTGTGTTTCATTCCTGGTCAACTTTGGTGCCAACATCTTTGCCCTGGACAACAACTTACAGTCTCCACTGGATGCTGCTGCTAGCAGAGAGCAGAATGAATGTGTTGCTCTCCTGGATAAGGCTGCCACTGCCCAGAACATCATGAGCCCCAAGAAAGTTACCAGGCTGAAGGAGCAGGCTCAGAAGAATGCCAGGAGGCAGATCAAAGAGTGCGAGAGGCTCCAAGAGAAGCACCAACATAAGATGGCTCGCACCTATAGCAAGGAGGAATCTGGGACTCTTTCTTCTTCCAAGGCTACTTTCTCCAGGTCATCCCTTTCAAATGCTTCTGCTTCTGGTACATTTGGGTCAGCAACTAAGGGCATTAAAGACACCTTCAAGATAAAGTTCAAGAAGAACAAAGATACAGAAGAGCTGGTAGGGAAGGAGAGCAGAAGTGGGCAGAGGAATGTGATGGAAGTGTTCAGAGAAGAGGAGGAAGACACATTCTCCCAGGACTTCAAAGAGAAGCTCCATTTCTCAGCAAAGGAGGACGGAGGTGTGCAGCACGAGTCCATTCTTAACCGTCCGGGTCTAGGCAATATTGTTTTTAGAAGGAACAGAATATTAAGTCCCGAAGACCTCTCAGACAGCAAGAGGGTGTTGGGATTTCAGATGCACAGTGAATTGCTTCAGAGACAAGGAGCAGCAGAGGCTGAGGAAGCTGAGGCTAACAAAGAGGGAGTGGAAAACAGCCATGAAGATGATTTGCCTTGGGATGAGGATGAAGTGGAGTGGGAGGAAGATGTGGTTGACGCTACTCCTCTGGAAGTATTTTTGCAGTCCCACCACCTGGAAGAATTCCTTCCCATTTTCATGAGAGAGCAGATTGATCTAGAAGCTCTGTTACTTTGCTCTGATGAGGATCTTCAGAGTATACAAATGCAGCTTGGTCCCAGGAAGAAAGTTCTTAATGCTATAAATGGAAGGAAGCAGGTGCTACAACAGCCTGGGCAACTGATTGACACCAGCCTCTGATGGATTATTGGGTCCACAGGGTGAACCTGCAGCAATGGGGCAATGCTGTGGCCCACTGGAAACCCTCCAGTCAACACCCTCTCTATGCCCAATGCCAGGCCACTGGGAATTGTTCCTAGGGTTTTGGAAATGCGCTCCTAAGAAAGAGGCCCAGACTGTAGTCTGAGAAATATTCTGTACCTGTCCAAAAAACCACCAGTGACCAACTCAAAGAGATCTGGGAATACAAAAATGCAATTTTCTCTCTAACTATCTTTTTGATATTTTTGAATATAGAAAGGGTTAAATGAATGGCAGACAAGGGAAAATCTCTTTAATTTTCCAACTCTGAACTTAAAAATTATAATCTCTTGTCACACAAGCATGCTGCTTACTTTCTCATCCTTAGAGCCTGGGGATTCCAACTCCAGTTCTGTCCTGAGCTCTATGACTTTGTCTGTTGGAAGAGATTTGAGTTCTTCCGTTGGCCTGAGGCTTCATGTCCAACTTAAATGTGTTTAACCCCTCAACAGATGTTTACATGTTTATAAGTAATGGAAATGGGTTTATAATATTCCTGCCTGGGAACAGAGGCAGAGCAGCATGTAGGGAGAGTGAAGAAAGAAATAGAATACCAGGTACCTGATGTAATATGAATCGTATCTCCCTAAAATTTGTATGTTGAAGCTTTATGCCTCAACATAACTGTATTTGGAGATCAGACCATTAGGGATGTGATTAAAGTTAAATGATGTCATAAGGGACACAGATGGATGGTGTCCTTATAAGAAGAAGAGACACTCAGGGTTGCACACACACACAGAAGAGGCCACATGGGGACACAGCAAGAAAACAGTCATCTGCAAGCCAAAGACAGATGCTTCAGAAAAACCAAACCTTCCAATACTTTGATCTTGCACTTCCAGTCTTCAGAGCTGTAAGAAAATAAATTTCTGTTGTTTAAACCACCCAGTCTGTGGTATTTTCTTATGGCAATCTTAGCAGACCAAGACTAAGGAGTGGAGAGAAAATAAGGATGCCGAGAAAAAGTCTGGACTGTTTCATGATTTTTCTCAAGGTAAGTGCCTTCTGAAACTTAAAAGAAGGCGGGGAGTCTAGGTCATTTGTAGGGAAAAGTTGATTATAAAAGGAAATGTTACATTTTTATGTGCATGTACATATCTTTTTTTATGTGGTTTAAAAAAATTTTTACTACTTTTTTTATTTTTGAGAGACAGAGAGATAGAACATGAGAGGTGGAGGGGCAGAGAAAGAGGGAGACAGAATCTGAAGCAGGCTCCAGGCTCTGAGCCGTCAGCACAGAGCCCGATGCAGGGCTCAAACCCATGATCTGTGAGATCATGACCTGAGCCGAAGTCCGATGCTTAACCGACTGAGCCTCCCAAGAGCCTCTATTATGTACATATCTTTTATTTATTCTTGTCTGTCACCATGGCCACATGTCTGAATATGTGTAAGTTCTACGATATAAACTGGCAGCATTGCAGCTGACATTTTTGAATGGCTGTCCCAATTCAGATTGAAACCCTACTGAACAGCTAAGCTTCCTTGGATTTTTATAGCCAGACTTACATCAAGTGGAATTTACTATTGACTGTGTGTATAATACAGAAACAGCTATTCATCTTCAGCATGGTTCCTCATGCACATCTGTTTGGGTTATTTCAAGAGGCACCCATGGAGATGATAAGCTTCAGGAGGGTACAGATGTGTAAATCTGATGAACAATTGGCTCATTCTTCCTCAATGGATAGATTCAGAAAGATTGTCAGTCATGGAATAAATATGCTGCACTAGGGGATGATCATGTTTACAAATACTGCATTTTGTTGGTCTGGAATAGACTGAAGCTGTATTTGCTTTCAAAAAGTGTGCACAAAAGCATTTGGCACATGAAAGAAACCCAGATAAAGTTTGTTGTGTCTGAGTCTGCGTGTATTAGTACTTCATTATTGTAGATGCCAGGATCCTCTCTCCACTTATTCTCCAGAATCTGCCTAATGAGACACTGGTTCCTAGGATATATGAGAAGTATAAGTCACCGGGGTTGGGGGGCGGGGAGGAAGTGCTGCTGTTAACAAAAAGGATGAGTTCTAGTAGTACTTTGTACATGACTGTCAGAGGTTAAAAGTAGTATAGAAAGCCTGGCGATACATTGTAGCAAATGAGAGGCTGTGTGAGGTGGTACAAAGAATTGTGAGCTGGAAAACTGCATTGCTGCCTGGATAGAATATCACCTTACGGACGTGGAAAGATACCTCTTTGGGAGAATGAGAAAAGGCAGGTCAGTGGAAATATTACTGGAACTCTCTGCCTTAAAGGATTTCATTCAAAGTGCTTCGTGGGAGTTCCTCATTTCCAGCTGGAATTCTCCATGCTAGAGAATTCTTCTTTCTACTGGAGGGGCAGCATTTGGCTCAGAAAATACAGGAAGGAGGATGTTTGTTTGTCCAGTAGAACTAGAAGCTCTCACCATGACCATCCCCTTGGACTTCATGTCAATTTTGCGATGAGAGAAGGGGATATGATTTTGAAGGACATGTGGATTGTAAAATGTCACATGAAAATGCCATCCAAAACTGCTGGGTTAAAAAGAAGGGACCAAACCTAATCCGTTTCTGTTATCACGTGAATAATCATAAACCTCTGTGAGGCCACAATGGGTTGTCAGAGTTGCATTTTTTTCGACAGCTGAATTTTATTTTTATTAAGGTAACCCAGCTTATAGGCTCCATCGGCTCATCTACCATTCTCTGAACATCCCCTGTTGTTCCATTTAAAGGGTAGATACCATGTCTGCAATTATCACAAAAATTAGATCAAAATATATGAACGAAACAGTGAGAATTACCTTCGGTCTTATATATCAGGGAGCAAAGAAGTTGAATTAAAAGTTTCCCCCTACTGAGAACTCTGCTACGCCTACTTCCCTATTGGAGAAGCCATGTTCTGCCTTACAATGTAAGCTCCTTGGAGACAGGGAGTTTTCTCTGTCCTATGTTCACTGACATATCCCTTGTACCAAATTCTGGTCTGTCATATAGCAGATGGTCACTATTTATTGTTGCATAACTAGATGGGAGGCCTCGGCTGGAGGCAAGATGCAAATTATGCTGGGCTGTTGATTCCTAGGAGTTTCACTGAATGTAGTGTCTCACATGGCATCTAAGGGTCAGGGTGGGTTATGTGACGTCGAAAGGAGTGACTCTGAAAGGAAAAACTTTCTCCCCATTGCACAAACCATTCTCAATCCATCTTCTGCCTCAAGTGTAACTTAGTTGTAGTCATCAGTCACGTTGGACAACTCTCACCTCTTTTGGGGAGACATTTGCTATTGGGGATCTCACCAGGCACCTTTATGCTCTTCTTGTGGGCTCTTGGCCTCTTATGAATTATTTACAGAATCAGTATGTGAATGTTCTCCCAACTTATCATGAAGGATATAGCCTCTCCATCATGCCACATTGCTGTAAAAAAGTCTTATACCATATTATAAAAGGTTATAACTGTTATAAGAATTCTAGATGTTTCAAACTAAATGAAACAAGAGAGGCCTAAGTGAGGAAGCTAGAGCAGTATAAATGCCTTGTCTAGAGACAGACTGGAAGATTATGAGCCTGGATGAGTTTAAATACTCACTGTATTCAGACCTCCATCCCTTAAACTAGATGCTTATCCAGTGCTATCAAACTCCCTAATGCCCTTGGTTCTCTCTCTGTCTCCCTCTCTTTGTAGTCGAACATAAAAGTCAGTGAGAAATAAAAGAAAGAACATTTCACTGAAGGAGTTTGGTGTGTCAAACACATATCGTGCTTATATCTCAGGCCGTCAGGCTATACACATCAATTGTATGCTTACAATTCCAAAATCTGAGTAACCAACCCAGACCATTGTTTTGAGCTCCAAATCCGTAAGCCCGAGTGCTTATCTGACGTCTCCCCTTGAATGTCTCACAGGTACCTCAAACTCAATATGCCCAGAACTAAACCCATCTTCTCCCAAGTCGGTGATTCTTAACTGGGATAATTTTGCCCCAGGGACCTCTGGCAATGTCTACAGGCATTTTTCATTATCGTGACTTGGGGGCCAGGGGTTGATACAGGTATCTAGTGGCTAGAAACAAGGAATGCTAAACATCCTACCGTGCATAGGACAGCCTCCTACAACAAAGAATAATCTGAACCCAAATGTTGATAATGCAGAGACCGAGAAACCCAGGGCTCTATCTATTCTTCCTCTTTTGAGAATGGCATACTTAACAAGCCTCTGATCTCATCTCTGGCCCTTCCTCTCTCTCTCTCCTAATTGCAGCCACACCAGGTTTCCTGTAGCTTCCTGAATATAGTGTGCCTCTCCTATGCCTGTGCCCCCGCACACAATCATCCCTCCTCCTGGGAAATCCTTCCTCCATGTAGCCATCTCTCTTGGGAGACTCACCCTCTCTGCCTGCCACTAGTCTGGGTTGGACCCTGTAGCTGTGCAGGCCACCTTCTGTTTAAACTCCAGAACCTCTCTCTGCTATTCTCCACCTTCCTCTGTGTCCCATTGGTGACCTCCATGGACTCTCCCTGGACTTCTGATTGGGTTTGGCCAGTGGGAGGCACCATCAAGAGACCAGAGAGTGGGAGGAAAGAGGGGCTGAGACATTTACTCCACCTCTCATTTCCTTGTGGGGCTGTGGCTGCCTCCCTTCATCCAAGCCCACAGCCCCTGTCTGCCCTAGCTCCAGTGCTTGCTGGGTTCCCTAACTGCTCATGCCAACTCAGCGAGTGGTGGTGGCAGCTTCCTACTGTGGCTGGCCTTGGCATGCTTCACTGTCCCCTCTGCTTCCTGTAACTCTCCCCTCTCCTTTCTTAAAGTCCCTTCATTGAATTCTCTTCGGTCACCCCTGTTCCTGCTGGGACCCTGACTATATGTTCCTGTAACACTGAAGCATGGTACTGTAATCATCTTTTTACATCTCTCTTTTCCTAGACTGTGTGCTTTTGGGGGTAAATACTGCTTGTTTAAAAAATTGAAGTATAGTGGACATACAATATTAGTTTCAGGTGTACAACATAGTGGTTCAATAATTATATACTTTATGAAATGCTCAACCATGATAAGTATAGTTACCATCTGTCACCATACATTACTACAATATTATTGATTATTGATACTATAATAATATTGCTGTACTTTTCATCCCCACAACTTATTTTATAACTCAAAGTTTGTATCTCTTAATTCCCTTTACAATGACTGTTTCTTTTCTATTGTGTCTTGGTGGCCTAAAACAGTTATTGTATCGGCTCTTATGGAAAGATCAAAAGAAGAAATCTATGAATTATTTCAGGCACTTAAAAAAATTTAAATTCCAATATAGTTAACATACAGTGTTATATTAGTTTCAGGTATACAATATAGGAATTAAACAATTGTGTACATTACTCAGTGCTCATCATGATAAATATACTTTTAATCTCCTTCACCTCGTTCACCCATTCTCCTATTCACCTCCCCTGTGGTAACCATTAGTTTGTTCTCTGTAGGCAAGAGTCTGTTTTTTGATTCTTTTTTTTTTCTTTGTTCATTTCTTTCTTAAATTCTACATATGAGTGAAGTCATATGGTATTTGTCATTCTCTGACTTATTTCACTTAGCATAATATGCTATAGATCCATTCATGTTGTTGCAAATGGCAAGATTTCATTCTTTTTAATGGCTGAGTAATATTCATATATATATAGTCTCCATTCATCTGTTGATGGACACTTGAGCTGCTTCCATAATTTGGCTATTCTAAATAATGCTGCAATAAACACAGGGGTACACATATCTTTTTGAATTAGTGTTTTTGTTTTCTTTGGGTCAATACCCAGTAGTGGTATTACTGGATCATGTAGTAGTTCTATTTTTAAATTTTTTGAGGAACCTCCATATTCTTTTCCACAGTGGCTGCACCAGTT